GGCCATCAGGACAGCAAAACTGTGCTTGCACAACCTGCAGCCTGCCTCCTTCAAGACAGCCACTGACCCAAGGGCCGAGGACACTGTCTGGGAGTGTCCCTTGTCTGCAGTGCAGTGAGACCTTGTGCCCCAGCCAGCACCACCAGAGACAGAGCTGGGACAGTGCCAGCGCTCTCTGCAGAACTGCTCCCCAGGAGTGGGGACAGGATGCTTTGGCCCTGGATGATGGCACTGGTAGAAAGGGGACATTGTCTGAGCCTGCACAGCCAGAGGAACATGATGAGGAGCAGGCTGGGGTTGTAAATCAGTCGCCTTCAAACCACAGACACCCCTCTCCTCTCCCTGCCCCTCCAGCAAACCTGAGTTTATCGTATGTAAACCAGACCAGGTTTGGTGCCTGCCCTGAAAAACCATTTAACTACTTCTGGGGCTGGAGGTCATTGTTAGTAATTATATCATCACTGAAGATAGATTTGGCTGCCTGCCAGTCACAGCTCCTGCTCTCTTTTACCAGAGGAGAAGCACATCCACAGCAACTAAACTTTTTTGTTCCTTCTGCAGGATCTTGGATTTTTCCTGCCTTGTCACCTGTTCCTATCTCCCAGGCAGCATCATGGGCCTGTGGCTGGCAGAAATAAATGGTGTAAGGAACTGCCCATAAGAGCTGGCTCTTCTTGCTCTGCCTCAGCCTGGGTCTGCAGCACTGTGGTAAATAGCAGCACTTAGGGCTTGCACACTGTTTGTAGGCTCCAAGTGCTTTGCAAAAGCAGCTAAGAATTGCCATCCTGTCTTTACTCCAGAAGTGAGGCACAGATTTGAATGCCTGCTCACAGCAGTGCAATCCTTGTAAGTGGAAATAAGCCCCGTGCTTTATAACTCCACCTAGGTGGGGTGTGGGGAATGCCCCACTCCCAGACAGGCTCGGAGCAGCTCTGAGTGCCCCTGAACTGGGCAGCCGGGCACACCCCAGGGCACTGCGGGACGGGATGTCCCCTACCCGGGGCAGTGGCTGGGACAGAGCTCTGGCATCCCTGCCCGTTTGGCTGGGGGTTCCTTCTGCAGACACCCCTTACTTGGGGGCTGGGGCAGCATCCCCCTGCTCCTGCCTGGCAGCCGTGGTCACCCTGCTCAGCTGCACACTCCCCTCCTCCTGTCGTGCAAAAGTGGGAGATGCTAAGATCATAATGAACCCAGAACTGGTTAGAGAAGAGGGCTTCCCTGACCTTTCTGCCTGATCCTCTTCACAGAACTTATTTTCCCAAAATTATAGAACTGACCAACTGTTAAAATGTCAGGTGACCTCCTCGTGATCATCCCACAGCCTCCCATAACAACACTGAAATGATAATCTATCTTTTAATCATGTCCTTCAAAAGATTTACATTTTCTTTCCTCACAGACTGGTGCTAGATTTTTTCCAATATAAATTACATTAACTCTAAAATTTAAATATTGAAGTGGTTCTTTCTAAATAGATTGTAACAATAATTTTCAACTCTTTTGATTGTTCCCTCTTAGTTTTTGTACGAAATAATTTGCCAGATTGGACTTCGATATATGAATAATTATGGTTCTCTCAAAAGCACATTTTTTAAAAATAAATTCATTCTACACAGAAGAGTCATGCCCAGCTCTACCTGGATTTTTCTTGCCCACAATGCACATTATCCCTCTAGCAGTGACAAGCTTAATTAATATTCATTTCTACCCCCATCCACTCCTCACCTCCCAGATGACCCCTGTCAAAACAAGTTGCTGTAGTTGTAAAGAAAATGCTACAGCCCCATAACACTGCATGGTGCAGGAGAATCTTCCTTTGGGGCAGAACTGACTAAGCTCCTTTTAAAAAGAGATGAAAAATCATGATTTCAAAGTTATTTAAAGTAACATTTGCTTCAAAAGAACACACTTAATAGTGGCTTTCCTAGCTCAAGAGCTGGTCTGAGGCACATTTGCAGAATGCAAACTCTGTGCACTGTAAACTTGATGCAGCAACACAGCTATGGAAGCACAGTTTGGGGGCAGATTAGGACCTGTCTCACGTTTCTTGAAGGTATTGCCTTTTCCGAGCTCTGGGGGAGGCTCTGTGATGGCAACACGAGTTCACTTCCTCAGTGGTGCCGCTTGGATGCCCCTGTTCAGAGTGGTCATTTCTCCACCCCTCTGGTTTCTGAGTCTGTCCCCGCAGGTGCTGCCCTCCCCAGCCAGCCTTCCCACCATGAGCAGAAAACTGGGCAGCACAGCACACAAATATGATGGGGACCCAGAGGCAAGCCATGGTTTCACACAATACAGTCTGAATTGTTCAATCTCTGCAACAGCCTGAGGTAGCCAACACCAAAGTAGATGCCATTGTGGGCATGAAGGAGGTAATGTGCAATTTACTGCATCAGTAAAGACAATTTTCTCTAGCTGACATTTTTTAGGTTACCCAAAAGGAGTTAAAAGTAGAATGATCACGTGCATATGTTTAACTAACATACTTTAAGGCTATTATGCAGACACGCTTATATTTAAATACATCCTCTCCCACAGTAAACATCTGTTTTCATAATAAGGCCAGGAAGAACAATTACATCATCCAGCCTGACTTCCTTTATAACACAAGCCATTTTCAGTCAGACATTCCTGTGATTAAATAAGATTGTATTTAATTAAAATACATCTAGGAATCTGTCTGTTCTTGATTTGAAGTCTTCAAGGCATGCAGGATCTACCATATCCTGGTAGCTTGCCCTGATTTGTGCTAAAATATTAATTGCCTTGCCTACACAGAAGAGTTTTGAAAAACACCAGAGTTTGTTCACCTCAGGGACTGCCAACAAAGTTGCACGTCCTGCCATAGCAAGAGGGAGAGCAGCACACTGAGCTGGAGCCTTCACACTGTTTCATGCCCAGACCAGATCACTGGCAAGATTTACCTGACAGTGAGTAATGTTGCCCAAGCAGCCATGCAGGAGGACTATCCCCAGTGGGGCAGCAGGTGACAGGGAATCAGTTGTCAAAGTTTTTAAATTCCTCTTCCTCACCCCCATGGTAGTGCCACAGCCTCTCCTCATCTCAACAAAGCTGGTGCATTTCTCACCTGGAGATCAGTCAGAATTCCTAAAGTGCACCAACACACATGGCTCTAAATGCATGCTGAAAATGTCACTGAGAGGTCAGTTCCAGCCTTTGTCTTGGACTCAGCTAGTGAAGAAGGGAGGCTGCACCTAGAGGAAGTTCTCTGCACGGGAGAGCTTGTGTCTAATCTGCTGCCAAAGTCACCTGGAGCTTCCTGGCTGCACAGCACACAGCTGGAGAGATGAGACACAGCTGGTCCACTGTGGGTAAGCACCCTGTCACACTGATCTCAGATGGCAAACAATGCTTTGGCATTGAAGATCTAGCAATCTGTCCTTCTGTCATGCCTCATTAGTGATGAAACTTCAGCAAGGCCACAGAGGAGTATTTCTGAACATGAAAGATATTGCTGGCTGCAGAATGGTTGTGGGAGGAAAAAACAGCTCTGGATCAAAACCAGGAAATAGGAAAGCAGGTGTACACAGAGAGCACAGCTCCTTTAGCAATGTCTCTGTCATAGGGATGGACACCAGTGAAATTCTGCACCAGCTGGTTCCACCAACCAGGCTACCTGAGAGCTACATGATGAGCCACCAACGTCTGCTTCACACACGGGCCAAACCAACATGCGTGTCCTCTCTGTTTAGGAATGCAGACGTTGTCCTACTCCTCCAAGGTCAGTGTAAATATCAGGACACTGGAAGGTGATGGTCATTTTTATGATGGAAGTCTCTAGTCCAGCAGGACTGGTAGCTGAGGACCAGCCCAAACACTAACCCACATCTGCTGAGCCCACCACCAGCACCACCATAAAAATTTCCTCCAGCACACACACTTCTCATTTCCAATCACTCTTCCCAAAACATCCATTTTCTGTGAGAGAACCCAGTAGTGTCTCTGGTGAATACACACTTTCACTCCTGCTCACAACAGCAAAAGGATTTTGTATCAGACACTGAACCATGTGCTGGTCCCAAAATGCCAGATCAGCAGGGTTTAACTAGACCAACAGATGGGTGTAAATGCTCATGCAGATCAGCTGTGTCCTCCAAGTGCTCCCCAGGGCCAGGGCAGTTCCAGACTGGGAAGAAGGTGCTTTAGTTTATATTTGCTCAAGGGCCTTGTCCCAACAGGTATCAGACACCTGATGCAAGCGCACAGGCTTCCACTTCGCTCTCTCCAGACCTGATGCTCAAATTTCTTTGTGCTCTGAGCTCATTGAAGAGCTGTCACATGGAAAACGCAAGATATTGAATGAATTTTACAGGTAGCCAGTGCAGCTGCTCCAGGAGAGATTTGGTCCAATACAATTAGGATAAATACTTTCTACTTTTTTTTTTTTTTTCTAACAAGTTAAAATACTCCTGCTGCAGCCTGAGAAGAAGCTGCAGCAGTAGGTCGGAGAATCCAGTAGCTGACACAGCTACTTTTGGTGCGTAAGCTGAACAAAAGGGGAAAAAAACATCTAAATAATGAGAAAAAGTGCACTAGGTCAGTATAGCTCATCCTAACTAAGTGTAATTAGCGGGAGAAGGAAGAAAAAATAGCTCACCAATATTGTTCCACAATATCTTTCAGGTGTTTGGGGACATTTAATTTTGCAGAAGAGTTTCAACCAATATAAACATGCCAAATATAACTTTCAGTATCCTTACCTACTTGTACCAACAACATGAGTCACAGGCTGCTTGGGACTCTCATAAATTTATATTATAAACCCACTTAAATCTATGCATAGAAAGTGATATACATCATACCCCAAAAAATGATTTTTCTGGGCTGTTTGGCAGTTCAGGGAGTGGTAGGTTTTTAACCTTAAAGATGTAATTTGTAGAAAATATTTGATGTACTTATTCTCCTAGTAATGTCTTAAATTGTTCAAAGAGATTCAACTGCAATAATTTTTTTCCAATGGATGTTCTCACTTAATATTTCTTCATTTCACATGTAAAGCTTTGTTTAAATAAAGTAGAACTATTCCTATTTAAATTTTTTTGTGTTAGGTTCAGCAAATTATTCTTTTCTTTAGAGTTGGGGAAGGTTTCTAGACAAATTTTGTTATTGGCCAAAAATGCAGTTGTAGGGAATTTGGGGGAGAATTATTTGGAAATTCAGTTAGATCTTGGGAATTACTTTGACAAAAACCAGTAACACTTTGGAAATGCTGAAAGCTCAGATTAGGCAACGCCCAGAAATTGCAGTTTTCAGTTGCAGAGCATTTTAGTTTAGAAATTTTAAAAAATTAATCGAAGTGCTTCATTTGACCTTAAGCCAAAATTGTTCCTTTCTGCAACTTACGTTAGATTGCTCAGAAAACTGTCAATTTTTACTTCCTATGACCAACTTAAGATGACAATTTTTCTTTTGTTCAATATTCTGACCTAAACAGAAAGTCAGTTGCATACATAAGATTTTTCACTCAGAATTTTCTGAACGAAATTATGTGTCCAGAAGGTATTGCTGGAATTGCAGTGGGACAGTATGCCTGAATATCCTGAATACCAAAGGCATTTCTAAGCATCTGAGTGTGTACATACCAGTACTGCTCTTCCTTACACTTCAAACATTCCTAATGGTCTGCCAAATCAGGGCATTTGATTCAGTGGAGGAAGTGTCACCCCAAAAAGTTTTGATCAGTGCTTCTCTTAGTGACAATGTGCTGTTCATGAACTGGGAAGTACTGAACTAAATGCAACTCTCAGAGCACCCCTCTTAAGCACCCATGCATCTAGAGTGGTTGCAGTAAAGAGATTTCCAGTCAAGCCTATGAAAAGAAACACCTGGTGCTGCTCCCAGCTGAAGTACTCACCAATAATTCCTTGGGAAATATCTTACTACTTTTTCATTTTAAAAAAGAGTAAACAGAAAGCACAAGGCCACACAAAATTGACTTCTCCATGTCAGTATAACAACCCTCCCCCTTCCATAATGCATGTGAGCCTGTTAATGGCAAGCAGCAACCATGCATAGCAGTGAAGAGATTTCATCTGGATCATTGGGAAAGTACACAGTCCTAGCAGAGCCCAGGAGGTCTGGCATTGTGACAGTGAATACCACAGATACCTCTTCCTGTACTTGAGTGTCCATTCGTTTGGATGTGGGTTGTGTCTTTGTGTTCTGGAAGGGAATTGTGTGCTGGTATGGCAACACCAGAGCAAGGTGTTTCTTGACTGCTGGAGCTCCTCAGGCCTGGTAGCCAAAAGCTGATGCTCTCTCTCTGAGCAGCTCCTGGCACAAATGACAACTCCAGCTCCCTGCAAATGAAGAAATCCTTCTTATAGGAATGACATAAAATCTAGGCACTCAGAGTTTATGTCAAGATTGGCTTGAATAATATATCAGATACTCCTAATAATGAAATTGCCTGTACTTTTGTGAAGCAGCCTCTGCTGCCCTTGCATTTGTGTCCATAGGCTTTCTACATGAGCTACAATGCTGCTGGGGTGTGCATTGCAATGAGGTGTTTTATATTTTCACACTTTCAATAAACCACTTCCCAGTGGAACAGAAACCTTTAGCTAATTATTAGCTGCATTTCAAAATTTTCCCCTCCTGATTTAGCTTCCTTTTTACCAAAGTTACAAACATTAGCTCCTGAATGCATGATTGATTTGTAAGTATTCTTGTCCTGCCCCTCATGTAAACCACAGTCATTCACACTTACAAGTCTCCTCCAATTCTACTGCTCTCTGAGGATTTTAGTCAGAGAGCCTCTAATGGTAAGAGGCTGGTTGCTCTGCTCCACAGCCAAGTGACAAACTCCAACCAGTCCTAGCATAGTCAGATTGAACCCCCTGCAGAGGTCATAACTACATACCAAATTCAATAGAGACCACAAAACCCTCACGCTGCCAAGACAGAAACGTATCATAGAACAAGGAAGGTAATTCCATTTAATCCAGTTCAGGCTCTCAGATGTTCCAGAGAGGACCTCCCTGTCTCAGCCTTTCTCTCCAGGACTTTGACTTCTTAAGAAGTCCAAAGTCACATTTCACAGGCTCTCAATTCAGTTGACTTAATTAAGGTGACCAATAACACCTGGGACATCCAAAGGCAGCCATGATCCACGAAAGAGCCATGTTTTGGAAGAGGAGGAGACCAGGCAAGACTGACTAGGAAACCAGGGATCACACTAGTGCCTCACATCTATTAATTTTTTTTTCTTTCCAGTGCTACCTCCCTTTGCTTTGCTATTGTTTCCTGTATGGTTCAAAACCTGTCTAAAATTTTTCCCTTCTCCACAAAGACTTTATTGTGATTTTCAAAGCAGACTTCAGTTGTATGTTACCTTCTGGGGGCTCAAAGACTGGTGGATTCAAGCAATACATGTGATAGCCACGGTCACAGTCATCACAGAAGAGCAGCTGGTCCTGAGGCAGGTTTGTTGGAGAGGCAGTAGGCAAACAGGGAGAGAAGGAGAGGAGAAGAGAGAAAATGATGTAAATTAGTCTCTTGCCAAGATGAAAACATAAGTAGGGTAACCAGCAATGCTCAGCTGGGAACGCAGAGCTGCAACAACAGAGACTGAGAGACTACTGGGAACGTAAAGGCTACAAGCATCACATTTGTTCATCCATGATTAGCCACCATATTCCTGAGAGGCTGCAGAAAGCCTCTCTTAGCACAAAGACAGTTCAGCTTCTAACTAGAAAATCACTCTGAGAAGTCGAGGAGTTCCTGTCCAAGATGGGCTCATGATGTAGGAGTGAAAGCTGTTATGCTGGGGATATGCTGTACTGAGAGAAGAGGACAGGCTTTGCTGGGCTCCCGTGTCACCATGTGCTGATCTCATTCCTTCAGAGGAAACCTTTGACTTAGACAGTTTTCCAAAACTCAGCTGAGTAAATTTTTTGTGAAACAGATGGAAATTACATGACCCCACCATGTGGTCTGTAGCTCTTTCATATATTTGGGGTGAAAAAAGCTGCTCTGAAGTATCCTGTGATTCCTAAGGCAGAACAGCTCCCCGGGTTCAGATTTTTTTATGCTAATGCAAAAACAAAATCTCAGGCTTCGTATTTATTCTACTGTAGGAATATAGTGTTAGCTTATCACCTCCAAAGTTCTTCATCCACTGTCAATTTTCCAAGGTTCTCACAGGCCACCAAGGACCCTCAGGATCAGATTTTAACTGCAAACCCCACAGGGAGGACATTGCTCAGCAGCAGGCTCTGGAAATCACTGGAGTTGGTGATTAGGTGAGGCTTAGCCATCCCACTTCAAATGATTTCATGTTTCCCAAGTCTTGTAATTAAGTTTAAAAAAATCATACCAAGAAAGTAAAGAAAATCAGGGACAGAAGGAGCATACTTGCCTCTCTTGGGTTATCATGTATTCACTTCTACTTCTGACTATCATACTGAAAGCTCCCTGCAACAGGAATTCGTGGGCCCTCGTTAATTTCTATTGAATAAGTACACAAACTATAAGCATCTTAAGTGGCCCTATATGATACCCGTGGTAATTTCAGCAGAGCCCAGTGGCTGAATGGGGACACTGGGGAGAAGCCCATCTCTGCTCTCAGGGATTGCTCTTCCTCGGAGATGCATGGAAGCAGCACTAAAACAACGACCCACACCAGTGCCACATGCTTCTCCAGGGTGGGCAGGGCAGCAGCTTGCAGTGATGCTTATTTGCATGAAAAGGTAAATGGACTCACATCGTTCTCTGAGGTCCCACAAAGGCTGCAGGATTTGCACTCAATGCATTGCCACTGATAGGTTTTAACAGCCTCAGTCATGTTTGTGGTGAACTGCAGGCAGGTCGGGTGTCCTGAGGAAGATCGGAAACAACGGTCATTGTTAAGGTTCACTTATTGCTTGTTAATTAACCGGTATTAAATTTGGGAACAAAACACACATGGACATGGACTGATCACAACATGGGCTGCAACTAACAGATACCAAAGAGGAAAGCAGGCATTAACCCTTTCGCTGCCGGGCACAAGAGAAAATCAGAGTCATCGCCACCCATTCCCCATTGGCAAAGCAGTTTTATTCAGAGCTCTTAAAAATGGTTTGGCTTTGAGTTGGTTTTTGTGGAGATTTAGGTTTTTTTTAAAAAGAAAACAAGAAAAAGGATGAAATCAGAAACAAACCCAATTTCAGAGAGAGACCATCCGTCTTAATAGAAATTGGACTACAGTTTCAATTAGCGTTGTTTCAACCGGAACGAAGGACCTGGTGGAAATGAGGTTATTCTCCATTTCACAGCTTCCCTTCCTGGTGTCCAAATGGGTGGAACAATTCTGTAAACTTTTCTTAAATGGAAGCAGTAGTGTACAGAGAAGATGCAAGACGGGATGGAAGGATATAGCTTTTAATTTTTTTAAGAGCTCTGCCACTAAAGTTGGTTGGCACAGAAGAAACCAAATTGCACAGCTAACCTTCCAGGATCAAAACAGGAAACCGAAAGGAAAAAAAAACCCAAGCCAACTCCCACAATGAACTAAATGAAAGGAATAAAGGAGGGAAAGCTAGCAGAACAGTCACATCTAATCAGGAAGGACAAATTGCCAGAGTTACAACCCCCGCCCCTACATGCGTGTCGACTTCAGCTTTGCAAAACAGCGGTATCACAGTAGCAGGGTCAGCAATGGGCTTTCTGGAGGGGAAAATACAAACAAACAAACAAACCAAAGGTAGGATCAGTGTTCCTTCTGCAAAACAAAACAAGACAAATACACCGCTGAAATAAAGTACTGTACTCCCAAACCACCCTTACCTGGCTGAGACACAGCCTAAGTCACCTGCAATAAGCTCCTGCCTGCCTTCTTGGAAAGCTCCATATTTAGAATCCTTCTCTGACACACTTAAACATTAACACTGTGCATAGTCAGGGCAGGGAGAGTCAACTGCTCATATGTAGAAAGACTGGGAGCAGAGGTATGCACATCCAGCACTGCCACCTGCTTCTTCTAGAAACTGGCACCATAAATTGCATGGCACCAATCTGCTGTTCTTAGACTACAACCAATGGATTGGAAAAAATCTTTTCCACTTCCACCAGCCCAAGTGCCTTTTTAAGAGTGGAGAAAGAAAGGCTGTTTCTCCAATAAGAAAAAAAAGGCATGTCTATGGTAGATGTGGGCACAGATGTGTCATCTTCATTACCAGACCTGTCACTAATATTTTGCTGTGCCATCACAGCAGCCATCACCACCCTACAAAAAGTTTCTGTATTTTCCAGCTAGTGAAGCAAAGAGTTGCTGAGAATTGCTGGATAAGGAAGTAATGCTGTAGGGAATCTACTTCTTTTATGTGTCCATGATACCACCAAATGCTGTAATAAGAATTTTTGTTCTCCATTGTATTAGCATGGTTGTGATGCAACAACTAAGCCTGTCCAGTAAAGAAATGTGTATGCATAATTATTAAAGAAACTGAATAGAAAATGAAGGAGCTATTTAGAGAAGGAGGGATCAATGAAATTGCTTGTATCACTCTTAAGCCTTTGAATAAAGAAACATCTTGACAATACTGATGAGCTCAGATGGGCTAAGAAGATGACAGGGTTTTGGAACACTTGAAATGTCAGCACAAAAAACTGACAGCTTTTACTGAGATTTACAGTGGACCAACTAAAATTCTGGGGACCTTGAAACTGCAACTAAGCAAAAGGAGATGTGGCAAGGTACCTTTTCTTCCTGAGAGGACCACATATACTTTCTGATACTACCAAACTAGCAGAACCTGACATGACACTGAAGTGTTCCTCTAGATCTGATTTACATGGAATGCAAACCTTATTCCAACACCAGTAAAAAGAACAAATGTGCCATGCTACACATCAGGGAGGAATTCATCCCAACAGCAGAGAGTTGCTTCCAGAAATGTTGCACTGGAATATATCACAGAAAACAACTCATATAGGGAGGTGGATTAATCAGAGAGTTAAATAGCTTCAGTCACATTTGAAAAGAAACAGAAAGAATGGAATCAAACATACAGAAATAAATCCCAGCTAAATGCATGCACATCTTCACGTGCTCCCTTGCCTGTGTGCACACACTGCTCATTGCAGAGACTCCAGAGACTCCATCTGAAGATCCTCCCTTTCTAACACAACGTGAGGGTCAGCTCCTGCTCACGACTTTATCTCTGTCCCTTCATAACCATTCCTGTTCTCTTCCATTTATCACTCTTGACTGGTTTGTTCCTCATTTGCCCCAAAAACACCTCTGCAGGTGTCCCGTGTGGCATCTCACATGAGTAGTGCCTCATCCTCGAAGTGATACATCCTATCTATATTGCTGAGCATTTCTTAGCAACAATACCTACCACAAGCCTAAAAGAAATGGTTTCCTGTGGGCTAAAGATTCCTTAGAAAATTAGGACTAGAGTGAGGGCCACAGTGGTTTCTTTTTAGTAGCAATGCAGAAATATTTTGCAAAAACATACTATTCACTCGATTAGGCTCTCTCTCTGAGTACTGTGACTGCAAGAGCCAAGTCTGCATAGCTGCAGGTTGCTCTCTGTTAGCCCAGGGCTTACACCATGTGAAAGGCAAAAAGAATATCTTTCTTCAGCCTCTAAGTCGGAAGCTTTTTCACATTAAGCAACATTCCTTGTGGTACCGTGACCTCAACTTTATGTGTTGGAAAGACTATTTTTATGTATTCTATCAGCATGGTGAGGCACTGTAGTATATGGCAAGCATGCCACTAGAGACTCAAAATATTAAAATTCTTTTTCCTTTCCTCCCTGGTTTCTCCTTCTTCACAATCTCTTTCTCTTTCTTTTCCTGCTACTTTTCTTCAAAACCTAGTGTTTTACATGCTATGAGAAAGTTCACACATCCAAGGCTTCCTGAGGCAGTGTTAGTGAACACCATCCCTGCTCCATATAACAGAACTTCTTAGCATTCCTTCTGCGTCAGAATACCTGAACACAAAGTCCTGTAGCTGCTTGTGGCAAGCTACTACAGGTAGATTCAAATTCCCCTTTTTATTCCTAAAAATAAGTCTAGTTCAGGACACAATTTTCCTTTGCACACAGAGCAGTCCAAAATGTGATTCAAGTTAAGGGCACTGCGGTAGCACAAAAGCCAGAGAGCTGCAAGTCTTCTTGCTATGTGTTTAAGATGGAGAAACAGTCTTAATTCACCTCATTGTGTCATGAACAGCGTTTGCTGTAGCTAAGGTGTGTAGCAGAGTCTGCAGCTGAAACTCAGTTAATAATTCAGGTGGTGGCTCCACCCTGGGAAACCCTGGATCAGTCTCACAAGTCTGTATCAGCTCTGCAGATCTAATAGGGGGAGGAAGTAACACATATTTATGGTGTCACCGAAGTCAATAGACAGACCTCTAAAATACACTCTGGGAGCAGTTCTGTTGAAGGAGAAGACAATATGTTAACACAGACAGTTTCTAACCTACCACAACTATTCTCTACCTAAACTTTTGCTATGCTGCAATAGCTATAAACAACAGAAAGAAACAATAAATCTTCCAGTGAGGTTTTCAACAGCTCATCCCTTTGTCTTAAAACAATATTTTAAAGTGTAGATCAGGTTTGAAAGCTCCCTCATCTTTTTCAAAACTCTCCTCTGGATTTGAAGTTTGAAACTGAAACTACATTTTATAGTGACATCAGTGTTTCACATGCCAGTGGCTTTAATTGTACATTATGTCCACCAGACATCTGGTCAGAGGAGTGGGGAGGTGAGCACATTCAGAGACCATCTCTTGTATCCTGCACCTGGTACAATTGCAGGCTGATGGGAAAGATAATTTCACCATAAATACCCTAAAAATATCTAAAAATCTCTTCTGCTTACACTGGCTGTATAACACTAAAGACCAAAACTGACATTAAAGGGCAGGAGCAATCTGCTGCTTCCAGGCGCTCTGTGACCAGTGAAGGCCTTAGAACGGCTCATTAGTGCTTTTTCAATAATGGATTCTGCATTGTAAGATTAATTGCAGCCATGTGCTCTGTCACACCCGCCACAGACTATTTAAGTTAACAATCCAATCAATAACCTTTTTCAAACAAAGGCAGAGATTATCTTGAGGGAAAAAAATAAGCAAATATTCTTTTTTAAAACAAATGTGAAATTATTTATACAGAATAAAAGGAATTTTTACTCAGTTTCCAATTCTTTCCATTATGTTCACAGTGTAGTGGTGGGCTTTTTAATCAATAGCATGATGAAAACTCACAGGCCTCCTGGCTATATTGCATCAGATTTATTCCATAAACTTTCAGGTCTTTAAACAACTATAAATACATATTACAGATATAATAGCCTATGTCACAGGAGCCTCATCCAAATAATGGAAGTTTACATGCAAAGAAAATGCATAATTTCCTCCTGCTAAGACTGAATAAGGTTTGTTGTGGCCACTGCCATCATTAGACAGAATTATTAGCATTACCTGTACAAAAGAAGGGAAACCTGTAATTCTAATAAGTGATAAGATTTTATGGTTATGATTTTAAAAGGTACCCCTCATTAGTCTGTCTAAGAAGGCACACTTACAGATATGCAGTGTCCACAACAGTCGGATTAGAAAAGGCCCTTAAAAACTCAGACTATCCAGGCACACTGAAGGGCTTGCCTCTGCCAGAATCTCAGGGCTCAAGAAGCTGCAACTCTCAGAAAAAAACCAAACATTCCTAAGGGATGAGGCTGGGGAGCTCTCTGCATTTTCCTGGCCTCTCCCATCCTGCAAAGTGAAGGTGTTACAGTGTAGAGACATATGCCTGCCTGCTCAAATGGAGGTACTCATGAACAGAAGTCTTCAGAAGGGTTCATGGGGTGAGGATCCA